GCTGGATCTGAGCTGAATAGAGTAACCGTGTCCAGATGAGTGACTGGAAACCAGTCGGCGTGTGGGTGGGCTGAGGTTTCTGGGGTATCGAGTAAAAGGAGAACGCTTTCTGACAGCTTGGCTTTGTGGCTCTTACATTTAACTAAAGTATTCTTGATTGATTGTTGCTCGGCTCTTTCTCCGGACAAAAGAAGAAATCCCATCCAGCTGAGTGTTACTGTGTGAGGCGCTGATGCATGAAGAACATTCAAACGTGCCACACCTGTTAAGAGTTCTCCTGAATTAGATTTAAAAGCCAAGAAAACCAGAATAACATTGAAAACCGTGGACACAGGGGTTGACGAGGAAACCGAGAGGTGAAAGAGACGTCCGCAGACGTTGGATCAGAAGTGGGCTTCGTGGAAGGGTTTTAGCTACACGGTCAAAGCATGGAAACAAGACCTAGTAAATCTACTTTAAAGGTGCAATAAGTAAGAGTTTTACAGTGAAATAATCCCAAAACAATTTAATGCCTCGACTATGTTGTGTAGAAGGTCACATTGAAACTGATTTTCTTCTGAGTCAGCTGAGGGTTGCGAGTTTTTCTCCTTCTAAAAAAGGCTAAAAAGGGACGTAGTCTTTGTTTACAGTCTGGTTAAGCTAACGCTGCTGCACCGGTGACACTGGCTGGCAAAATGCAGCAGCATTTTGTAAAGACAAAGTTGTTTCGTGTACCCCTTAGAAGCCACAACAACCTTTTGTTTTATGCTAATATTGGGTAAAGAAGACTGGAGGCTAACATTGAGCTAAAAATGCTAACACTGAATTAAGATATCTCAAGCTACTTTTTTTTCCAGTGACCAACAACTATTTATTACACTGAAATGTTTTTATCTACTTGTTAACTCACTGTGTGACTCGTCTCCACTCGTCATCTTCTGGTCCTGATGCATATCTGGCAACAGCCTTGAAACGTAGGAAACAGGAGTGAGAAAGTGACTTGTGTGTTTGGAAAATGGACTGCAGTACCCAGGTTTGACCACATGGTGTCACTGTTACTTCATTATTACAACATGCACCTTTAAAGCCGCAGCATTAATACAATAGACATATTTTCTGTTTTAAATGCTGATTTCCTTTGAGAAGATTACAGATCACTTTAAAAAGCAGCTTTTTTTCATTCTTGAACCAAATTGACATTTGATGGAACTGAACCACAGCAAACGAACTGAATCAATACCAGTACTGAGTAGTACGATAACTTTGATGAGTGACATTTACTAGATGAAGTGGATAGTATTTTTTAAACAGACTTACAGCGGGGACAGGTACATTTTATTCATGTTGGTGTCTTTGGGATCACCAAAGTCCCGTTTTCCTGGTGGGAGGCAGGGTGACGGTGACCCAGGCGGGAGGCAGAACCCATCGGTCCGGCCGGAGGAAGATAAACAGGCTGCTCTGTATTGTTCTGCTGGTATCACAGAGAAGCTGTCGGCCCGCGTGATTGAAGGCTGAACCTCCCAAAATAGGCGCTCCAAGGCCGGGCTGCCTCCACCCCCACACCCTGTTATAAATAACCTGTGTGTGTATGTGTGTGTGTGTGTGTGCTGCTAGGGTGGCCCTTAGAAAGTGAACCCACTGAAAACAATAACAGGAGGCAAACGACGACAAAGATATAAAACTCCACTGACCTTTTGATTCTCTCGCTCTCTCTCTCTCTCTCTCTCTCTCTCTCTCACACACACACACACACACACACACACACACACACACACCAGCTCATGTGAATCAGCCACAAAACATGTTTTCACCATAAAATCGTAACTAGAAAGTTTCCATTTTCAACAGAAATGAAATGCTTGATGAGTTTGCTTAAATCTGCTGAAATTAAATAGTTGTTTGTTTCTAAGGAGATGTTTTGTGTTTTGTGAACTGACATCATCCAGTTTTCTTCTTTGTTAAGTCTCTTCAGTTAAAAATAATGTTCTGTGAACTCTAAGTGACTTCTCAATCAAAAGTGTGTGCGTGTGTTTACACTCGTGGGAGAAGATGAGGGTGGGCACCGTGAACAGATGAGGCGGGTAAAGGGAGGCTCGGACTGTTATCTGCTGTAAAGATTGGAGGAGTGTTTACCGAGTTAAATGGTGTGTGTCATCACTACGCAACTCCTGTGTAATGTTGGCTGGTGGGTCTGCTGTCTGGGACGTTTTCACCTCCATTAAAACCCACAGAAAAGGAAGCTTTGGCTCACAACAGAAACATTTATTCATCGGATGAAACTCAGAGCTGAAACTAACACTGTAGCAGCATGAGGGCTGTTGAGACGTAAAACACTAAGAAAAGTGTAAAATATTAAAAACATCAAACGTACAGTTCAGTGAGGACTAACGGTTCTGTTTTTAGTCAAACCCAGGGGCGGATCAAGTACATTTTGCATGGGGGGTGCAAAAGGGGGGCCAACGGTCTAGGCAGGGTGGACCTCCTCTTGAAAGTATGTAAATAGAATCAACATACAGGAAATTTTGATTAATAATTACAAATTTTGTCTCATTTCTGTAGCTGTTCAGGCTTTAAATTTGCCTTTTCCATGTTTTATGTTTATTTATTTAGCAGACGCTTTTATCCAAAGCGACTCACAGTTTATAACCTATAGGGCATGTTCTGATCCGTGGGGGAAACCGGAGTACCCGGAGGAAACCCACGCATGCGTGGGGAGAACACGCAACTCCAAGCAGAAAGGCTGCAGCCGAGTTTCGAACCTGCAACCTTCGTGCAGCAAGGCAACAATGCTAACAACTGCGCCACCATGCAGCCCCATTTGATTCCCGAATTTGATTTTGCATTTTAGACTTTACTGTTTTACCTTGCACCTGAAAAGCTCACTGATTGGTGCACGAATAAATGGCGCTGCCTTGCCGCATAAATTACAAAAATAACTGATTTGCAAAATAAATACAGAAGAAAATCCAGTG